GACGCACCGGCGGCACCCTGCTCCAGGGCTGGGCCCCCATGCACCCACCCGCCCACAACCCCGGCAACACACCAACCGGGACCCAAGCCCCCGAGGCCCGGTCCGGGTCCCAGCCCAGAGACAGAGCGCCCCCAGAACCTCACGCCCATCCCGGACCCACCCAGGGGCAGCCAGGTTGCCAGGTCAGTAACCCGGAGGTTCCTTCCTGTTAAAAGGGAGTTTTTCCTTCCCACTGTCGCCAAAGTGCTTGCTCATAGGGGGTCATATGATTGTTGGGCTTCTCTCTGTATCTACTGTACAATAGAAAGCACCTTGAGGCGACTTTTGTTGTGATTTGGCGCTATATAAATAAAATTGAATTGAATTGAAAATCTGTTGTCAGACCGTGCGACCTCATAGTCAACGTCCTCAACTCACCGCGTGACCACAAAGGGTCCTTGCCTCTTGGCAAGCAACTTTGAGCTGGAAGAAGGGAGCAATACAAGCACTTTGTCTCCCAGTGAAAATTGCCTGAGTCTAGCCCCTCTGTTACTGACGCTGCTGAGCCTGGAGCTGGTGCTCTGATCTGTGCAGCTCAGGACAGGACTGTGACTTCTCTCAGCCTTAATAGTGATTCCTATTAGGCAGATACAGTGAAGACTGACTGGAAAGTGAGAGGGGGAGACATGCGGCAAAAGGCCACAGGTCATACTTGAACCCAGGTCAACCACTCTCAGCTATGCAGCATATGGTCACCTGCTCATCCAACTGAGCTAAACCAGCACCCAGTAAATAAAATCTTAACCCAAATGTTAATGGTAATATAACCCTTGTGGTGGGTTATGAGTTTCAACCCAATTTTTGGTGACCTCAGCGTTAAACATTGGTCAATGTAACCCATTTTTTTCATAATTATCCTAAGCCAGTGTGCTGGGTCAAACCAACAACCCAACCCTGTTAAGCTGAAACAACCCAGGGTTAGCTCGGTCCAAATTTGACCCAGCACTGGATTACAAATTGGGTTATTTTTAACCCAGCATTTGTTAGTGTGTGTGTAACAATGCTGCCCCGAACACCCAGAACAGCTTGAATGAGTACATTCAGGAAGTAAATGCTTCAGATTCTGGGGTCGAAGCCATTCTCTCACAATCCAAGGAAAGTAAAATGCAACCTTGTGTCTTTTTCTCTGGCCATCTCTCTCCAGTGGAACGCAACTATGACATTGGTGACCGGGAAGTACTGGCTGTCAGGATGGCACTGGAGGAATGAAGACATTGGCTGGAGGTGTCCAAGCACCAGTATGGACTGGTCACAAGAACCTTGCATACCTCAGACAGAGAAGGTGAAGAGTGAAAGCTCCTTCCCAAGGATATTGGGCACGCAGACTGGCACAACCAGGGATCAAACCACCAAACCTCTGAATAATAGATGACTTGCTCTACGTCCTCAGCTATTGCGAGTGTAGTGCTGAACTGTGTAGCTCAGCACAGGACTGTGACTTCTCTCACTCTTAACAGTGATTCTTGGTGGAAAACGAAGCGCAACAATTAAACATGTCCCCATGCAACACAGAATGTAAACATAGTTCCTAGGTTCCCAGGTAGTATTGTAAAATCAGTACAGTAAAGTATAGTAAAAATCAATCCATAATAGCTCACATTGAAAATGTATTCAAACAAAACACATATCAAGTGGAAACATTTTGAAAGAGTTTTTTGCGTGCCTTATGTTTTCAAGGGGATTTTTCCCTCAGAAAACCCAAATAAATTGCAGAATACATTTTAAGCAATATATTGCACACAATTGCCAGATATAGCTATGATACAAATAAAAACTTGTAGACTGTTAAGTTTAGATTAGTCCTGGTCTCAGAGCACTAGTGACAACAGACTATCAAAATAAGACAGGAAAAACCTTACACTGTGTTTAATTCTACTTCCCCTCCCACCTGTTTTCTGTTACCTTGTTGTCCTGTATGCCTGTATGTAGATTTGCTCCTGCCTTATATTATGCTATTTTGTAGGTTTTCAGCAGTTAAAGCTGTTTTTGAATTTCATAGCTTGTCTTTGAGTCTTGTTTGCCACATAGTGAGCCTTGACACTCAAAAAATTCTAATTGTCTTGCAATTATTTAATTGTTTTATTTCAAGTTTTACAGGGTTAAAACTAGTAACCTAGCAACTTTAATGGGATGAGGAAAACTGCAACAAACCTTTCTGCAAGCACTTTGAGCAGGTTAACAAAAACAAGTTCAACAGAAGAACCAATGATAAATCATGATTAAACAAAAACAGCAAAACACAAGGAAAAAAACACAGCCTGAGCAATACAGGCTAAACATATGGTAACAAGGAAAATGGATATGAGCAAGAAAGAGAAGAAACTGAGGAAGAGAAAAGAGGAGAAATGAAGCAACCACATCTACAGTTAACTCTTATCTCAACTCTCCATAAAAACTTATTTCTCAAGTTTAACTTACAGATGTCAATGATACACATCATTTTTACCTTTAATGATATTTTAGGATAAGGTTTTACGATTAATTTCACATATGACGCCCATGACCTAAATCTGTGAACATCAAAGTGAACTCATCCTGATGCTTTAATAATTTTTTGTTAATATCGCTGGAAGCATGAGATCTGACCACCTGCAGGTGAAAGATGAGTCCATGGGTGACTCACTTTGATATTTTTCACACTTCACCATCAACTCTGTGCGGAAACTCGACACCCAACGAACCCGCCGATAGATTCGTTGGGTGTCGAGTTTTACGCTTGGCGTCTGTCAAACGGGACAGGGGCCCACGATGAGCTATTCCCCCAACACCCTGCTATTTAGAGGTGGGAATGCGCTAAGACCCAGCCCCCTCTAGAACACCTGCTCCTCTCCTTCTGTGCCCCTGTGACAGACTGATCAGTGCTCCTCTTGACTTTGTCCACTGCTTCACCACAGTTCTACATCGTGCGCTCTACCTTTGACAGTTTGCTCTGAAATTTGTCATTTCGCGCTGCCCCCTGGTGGATTTTAATCTGTCCGTTTCTTTACTTCTCCCCATTAATTAGCATTAAAACCGGTGCGTTTTGTCGATGGCGGAGGGTGTGCGCCCTGAGGACTATTGTGATGAGCCGGCGGAAGACGAGTTTGGAGAAATCATCAAGTGTCGATCTGGTAGGAAACCACAACATCCCCTCCCTGTGTGTGTGTGTGTGTGTGTGTGTGTGTGTGTGTGTGTGTGTGTGTGTGTGTGTGT